ATGCGGGCACTGCAGCTTGGGGTTTTTGGAGGGGGGTTAATCCTCGGCTTCGTAGGCATCTGCACACAGGACCCATCGGCCTTTTTAATACGGTTTTAACAAGCTGGTGGTTTTTTGCAGGAGGGGCTTTGTAGAGGGGCTGGAACCGGACGTGTGAAATGGCTGCGAAGGTGTTTGAAAGCCTTGGGAAGCTTGGCCTGGGGTTGGCTGTCGCAGGTGGAGTTGTCAATTCTGCTCTTTACAATGGTGAGTGGGAGAAGCTGAGCGCTTCCACTTCGCTTTGTAGCGCTTTTTTTTTTTTTTTTGGTCAGTATCTTGGTCGCTCTGTGCTTTTATGGTGAACGGCCTCGGGCGAAAATAGACGTGAAGGATTGCTGGGCTGGTTTAGACCTTGTGCGTTGCACGAGTAAGAGGCTTGCCAGGTCCTTTCTCTAGAAAGCTGTCAATTAGCTGCTGCTCTTGTGAGCAGACGGCGGGCCAGGAGTCACAGCTGCATCTTTGCCTTGTTGCTCCCAACCATCTTAATTGGTTTCACTGATCTCCTGTAGCAAAAAGCCTCACCTATCCCTGATAGACTGTTTCCATGGAGAAGGCTTTGGTGGTGTGCAGGTACCGCGGATGGCGGTAGTGAAACCTCACTTGATGTGCTCTTTCCTCCTCTAGTTGATGCAGGCCACAGAGCTGTCATCTTTGACCGATTCCGCGGGGTCCAGGACACAGTGGTAGGAGAAGGTACCCACTTCCTCATCCCCTGGGTACAGAAACCCATCATTTTCGACTGCCGCTCTCGCCCCCGTAACATTCCTGTCATCACTGGCAGCAAAGGTGAGTGTTTGAACCCAGCAACTGTAAGAGAACCAGATGCTCTGATGAGTTTTGGCCTTCTGGGTGCGGGCACCCCATGTGTCTGGAGTCGGGTTTGGCACAGAGTTGGGAATGCTTTGATCTTTTTAGTTCAGTCCTGGAAGTCATCCCTTTAAACAGAATGTCTCTGTCTTTACAGTGAGGCAGGTAATTCCCTGCATCACAAACAAACTGAAGCTTAAATCTTATCTGTGAGGAGAATTTGGATCCTGAGGTGAAAGGGGTAGTGACAGTAACTCTTCTCGGCTGGCAAAAAGAAGTCTGGATGTTTATTATTTCTCGTTTAGTTGCCCTGGAGAGGACAGCTTCAGGGTGTCTCCCGTCCCTCTGCTTTGCTGCTAAACTCCTGACTCTTCCTGCAGATCTACAGAACGTGAACATCACGTTGCGTATCCTGTTCAGACCCGTGACCGCCCAGTTACCGCGGATTTTCACCAGTATTGGAGAGGACTATGATGAGCGTGTCCTGCCCTCAATCACAACCGAAATCCTCAAGTCTGTTGTGGTAAGGACAGCGTGAGAGCCACTGGGCTCTTCCCGTCATCTTTCTTTGCTCTTTTTACCCGTGAGAGACCTGCTGGGGTGTGGAATATGTCGTGCTCCAGAATAAGGCTTCTCTTTCCATCCCTCATGTTCTCATGGGCCATCCAGAAACGCTAATTGTAGCTACGCTCATTGTTTCTCCATCATTCTGACTGCTTGACCCGACTCAGTTCATGTTGGATGATCTCTGGATGGAAAGAGGTTTCTCCATTACCTGCTCGCAGCCGTTGGCTCGCTCTGCTCTTGAGGCTGGGAGTCTCGGGCAGGAGACTGGGATTTTCACTTCTCATGGAATCTTCGATTTCAGCCTACTGAAGACCTCTGGTTTGGGAAGCATCCCAGGGGACTGCAAAATAATTACTAACCAACTCTAGTCCAGCTTGTGAGCTTTCTGTTAAGCCCTCAACCTTCCCTCCAGCTTACACTTTCATTCCCAGTCATTCAGTCTTTCTCTTGCTTCAGATGCCCGGGCAGCTCGGTGTTTGCTGGCTTGGGGAGAACTGGATTAACTCAGGGGCTCCTGGGTGCAGAGACAGGCAGGGCATGGAGAATCAATCACTTCTTGGAGCTTTCTGCTCACTGGTGTCCATCCTGACTTCAGGCTCGCTTTGATGCTGGAGAATTGATCACTCAGAGAGAGCTGGTGTCCAGGCAAGTGAGCGAAGACCTCACGGAGAGAGCGGCAACCTTCGGGCTCATTCTGGATGATGTGTCCTTGGTAAGAGTTTTCCGTTTTCAGTTTTTTCTCTTTGGAGTGGGCCCAAATAAGAGCAGTGGAGAAGAGACTCGGTGGATGGTCAGAGAAGGGTGGGCTGGAAGTTTGGACGTGGGGACTGTGTTTGTGCGGTTGCACGGTACGTAGCGGTTACCTCTGGGTTTGCCGCTGGCCTGTGACCTTGAGGAAGCCCTTGAAGGCTCTGCTGCGCTGGCTCATCAACAGACTTCACTGTTGCAGGGCTTTGATAGTTCAAATGAAAAGCAAATGCTTCGGTGGGTGATGGATCAGGCAGCTGTTCCACAAGCACCCCGAGACCCAGGGAGAAAGCAGTAGGCATGAGGAGGCAGTGCAAATGGACGCTTTTCATAGCAGCTTTTTTTCTGTGAAGTATCAGTTAATTCTTCTGGCTGCGGAGTCCTCTAAGGCTGTTCAGGGAGGGAGCTCTTCCCTCGTCCCTCTCTGTAAGCTTTGTACATTCAACCTGTTGTAATCTGGCTTGTATGTCTGCCTCCCCCTCTCTTCTGGGACTTCCCTCAACAGCCTGCTTAGAGGAAAGGGAAACAAGCTCTTCCATTTGGCTTTGAGCATCTGGGAAGCCTTTGCAGGAAGGTGACTTTTGTTTCTGCAAAACGTGGTTTGACTCTTCTGTTTCTGGTGCTTTCTGCTGAACACGCTATGGAAGGAAAAGCACCTTTCCCGTGTCCCATCCCAGGAGCCTGCAGCTCTCCCAGAAGCCCGGGCTGAGCACACCAGTGCATAATGGAGCACGAAAGGTGTAGGATGGCTTGGCAGCCAGCGGGCTTTTCTGCCCCTGGGGGGAGCGCTGAGCGAGCGGGCTCCTTCTGCTGGGTGCTCCAGCAAGCGGTGGTGGCAGGAGAGTATCGTGTGCCTCTGAAAGCACTGGTGTTCCTGGTCTGTGGGACTGGAGCTGTGCTTGTGGTGTCTCCCTTGAGGCTTCAAAACTGGATGCGGAGGCCCACTTCTCCCAGTTTCTGTTCTTTTAGGGATACTGGCTTTCCATCTCCATTCCAGTTTCACTGAGCAGGCAGGCTGCCCCCGCCCCAGGAGCTGCGTGGGTCGCAGCAGGGCTGCTGTGAACTGTCAGCGTGGTGGACTTTGCTTGATTTCTGCTCTGCAGACCCACCTGACCTTTGGCAAGGAGTTCACGGAGGCGGTGGAAATGAAGCAAGTGGCCCAGCAAGAAGCAGAGCGAGCCAGATTCATTGTGGAAAAGGTACCTTGTCCTCCTGAGAAACTTGGCGATGGTCCCTGGGATCTCCTTCCCACTCTAGCTTGCAGTGAACATCTCGCTCACCTGTCCAGGAGACCGGGCAGGTTGAGTGACAAAGTCAGGGTCATAATGCTGATAAGTTCTCAGCTCTGGCACGTGATTGTTGGCTAGAAAAACCCTACGGTTGGTTTTGTTGGGTTTTGAGGTCTTTTTTTTTTTTTCCTTTTACTACCCTGTCATGGTCTTGCTGGAGAGCTGAGCAGAAATGTCTCCCTGGAGGAGGAAGGAGGAAACAGCACTCAGGAGGGGAGTGTCAGTTAGAAATGGGGTTCAGGGTTGAGAATTGCAACCCAGGTGATCCAACCATTTGTGAATTTTGAGGGGGTGGCCGGAGCTTTCCACGGGGTTTGATATCACGGGCACGAGGGCCTGTGGAGTGTTTCTGACTGCATGCAAGGCCACATGTTCTCAGATCAACCCAGGATCTCGGTGAGGATCCACAGAAACAATTCCGTGTACAAGTACCCCGGTGGAGCTGAGAACACACATGCCTGTTGAGTGCAGGAACCTGCAGCTACACCCAAAGTTAATCCAGTGGATGCAGTAAGATGCATGTCATCTGCCAGGATGATTAAACAGTAGAAGTGTTTATCTGACCTGGTTTTAACTCCACTGAAGTTCTCGAATCTTTCATAGACAATTTTCCACCAGGAGTCCCGTAGGTGGGTTAATGTTTCATGAGGTTAAGACTGATAAGGCAATTTCAAGCTAATTTTTCAACCTTTTTTGCCACGGTAGGCAGAAAAACAGTCTAACAGAATACAGCTTTAAAATAAAATCACCTTCTATCTCAGCTCTTCTACTGGGGAAAAGAACAGTAAGGTGGTGAAGTGGGAATTTGTATTTTAAACATGACAATATCCGTCTTCCTTCTCTTTTGCTTCTGTTTTCCCTGTTGCTTATTCCCCTTCTCATCCGTTTACGTTCAGGCCGAGCAGCAGAAGAAAGCAGCCGTCATCTCTGCTGAGGGAGACTCGAAAGCAGCCGAGCTGATTGCCAACTCGCTGGCCACTGCAGGAGATGGCTTGATTGAGCTGCGCAAGCTGGAGGCCGCCGAAGACATCGCGTACCAGCTCTCACGGTCCCGCAACATCACCTACCTGCCCTCTGGACAGTCAGTGCTCCTCCAGCTGCCGCAGTGAAGCTGGCTCTGCAGCCATAGCTAGCCGTGTCACCTCTACCTTACCAGATCAGCCCTTTCCAAAAGAATCTGTGCGATTTCCTCACTGGTAGAAACAGGGGAAATTAAAATTCAACTCATTTTGAATTCTTAATCAAATAAAACTGAGAGCTCTTGACAACGAACCTGCATTCCTCCCATGTACGGTCAGAGCGGTGGCTCCGCTGACCATTGAGCTAGGTTTGAGAATTGCCCCTTTCCAGGCAGTTTGAGCAACAGGAGCAGAGTTTTCATCTGCTCTCTCCTGGGACAAAGAGGTAGCCCAGCTGACTCCCTGACCACCAGAGTGCTGTATCAATCGGGTTTCACAGCGATGCTTCAGTGCCTTTAGGCTGGCTGAGCCAGGGTCGTTACAGACTTGCAGGTCCTGGACGATGGAACAGGGATGCTCAGGGCTCTCTGTTCAGTCAAGCCAGTCTTTTTTTTTTTTCAGGTGTCAAGCTGAGAGTAAGAAAGAGGACACCTCAGCTGTTAGGGCAGTGGCTCTGCTGTGCCTGTGTGAACTGTAGCACTGATAGCTGGAGGCACAGGTCGAGTGGATTGTGGCTGGGGGTGAGAACAGCGATTCAGTTGATGCTGTAGATGGATTTCAGGCATGGAGGAGAAGGTAATTCCTCTGCAGGAAATCCTTCTGTACATGCTGGCAGTGGGACATCTCCACTTCTCCCCCTGCCGCCACACGCTGATGTGTTTGCTGGCTCTTGCCCTGTTGGGCAGCGTTGGCTTTTTCACCAAGGTCAGTAAAAGTGGCAGTTGGCCTATTGCAAACAGCACCCGGGACAAAGAGGGGATGACTCGGTGCTCCGTGGCTCAGGCAGTCGGAGGTGGGTAGAATTCTCTGTTACATCAACGCTTTTTTTTATTTAGGGAACCTGAATTGTGAGGAGGATGTGATGGGTTTGAGATTGTATAACCAGCCTTCAATAAATGTCACGGGCCCAAGTGCAGTAGTGTGGGTTGTTGTTTGTTTTTTTTCTGATACCTCAGAAGAATGAAGGTTGGGTCCGTGGAGCAAGACCCCTCATGCTTGTGCCAGATTATTTGGATAAAAGTCACTGAGCACAGGCAAATAGGTCTTGCTCTGAGAACTTCAAGCTTGAAATGTGACTCTTAGGCTGGATTCCTGCAACCAGGTAAGGCTGAGAGACTCTTCAGGTTATTCTGAGGGCTTTTAACCGTTTTCCACGCACAGTTCAAGCTGTTGTTTACTACCTGTACATACATTTTCCAGGGTGCTCTTTTGATGCAAGACCGTGCTGTTGGAAAGAAAACGGGGGTGTATTGTACCAGATACAGCCTACAGTGAACTTCCAACTTGTCAGCAGGCTTGGTACTAGCCTGGCACACCATTACCCCCATCCTGCAAATAGGGTGCTCGTACGAGGTCTGTTATCCCTGAGCGATGGCGTCTTAGGTGGGTGTCATCGCTGCTCCGAGGATGTTGAGCCCTCGGGAAAGCTGCTGTGAATGATGGACTCATTTCATCATCGTGCAGCCACCTTGGGTTGTTGCCTTCGCCTCTGGCGGAATGGAAAGACTTGCCGGCTTTTTCTGCTGGGCAGGGTACGCTTTTGCCATGATGAGGTGCCTGAGCTTGCAAAGTATTTTAAGCAGCTGAGCAGTCAGGTCCATAACTCCCAAATAACTTCCAGACCTTTTCCCCCTCTGGTGCTCTTGTTCTTTATTCTTCTGGTTTACCGCTCCAGACACTTGTAAGGAAGCTTCCACTTTTCTCCCGAGGCTCCTTTTAAAGCCCCTGTAGCGTTTCCTGCGTTTCTCTCCGTTAGTTTCGTGCACCAGGTGCTGGGCTCAGAACAGTGTGTCTGAAATCCCTTTGCAGCTTCTGTGGCTCTGCATTACCTCTCCCTCCAGTTCTGTATTTTCAGTGGAGTGTGGAGCGTTTCCTGCTGCTTTTGCTGTTAGCCTCTCTGGAGGAGGTGTCTGAGGCTCCAACAGTGGCCCCTGGGTCTGATTAATCACGATTTCCTTTGCTTTTGGGTGTAATTCTTTTTACAAATGTTCCCTGGCTGTTAACTGCTCCTTTACCCTCGCTCTGCCTCACTTAATGCCAAAAGCTGCTGTGAACTCATCAGACTTCAAAGCTGCTCTTGAACCTGTAGCTGTCTCGGGGTGTGTGTGTGCTGGCTGAACCCCTTGTTGATATTGTGTTTATAGCTGCTCTTCAGCCTCGTAGACCGTGCGGACCGTCGAGCTCTCTGGCTCCAGATGGGAACGGTGACCCTAAAATCAGGACGTTGTTTTGTGTGGGCTGCACAGGGCTGCTGGGGGTGAGGAAACAGCTTTCTGCTTGCTGGCTGGATGCTGCCCTGAGCACCGCCCGGCATCCTCTGCCAAACTTCTCAGGTGCTGGCAGGCTCCTTGATGTAAAAACAAAACAAAAAAGTGGAGACTCTGTTGTCAAGGACTGGCCTGCCTGGCATTCCCGACCAAGGCTGCGCTGAAGAGTGTCAAAGGCAGAACTCTGCTTCCCAGGGGACTGGTCCTTCCCTGGCAGCGCTCGGGAGGTGTTAGCAGGGTGTGAGCACTCGCTCTCAGCGCTCTGCTTGTCAGGGCAACGGAGAGCTTTGGGCTTGGGTAACATGAAGGCAGGCCGCCCTCGCTGCTCCAACAAACAAGTCCCCACCCTCTCTGTTTGGCATTTCTAACATTGTTGCTCTTAATAATCCAGTAACAAAAACTTTCTGGTGAAAGTGGAGCACAACGTGGGGTGGAGAAACGAGAGAGAAAGAGAGAGAGGGTCACGGGTTGTGGCTTTGTACTGTGGGCACAGAGAGGAGTTCTGTTGTGCAGGTCCTGGTCCGCCCTCCCTGAGACCCTGCGTAACCCACTCCATCCTGGGGGCCTGTGACTGTCACCTGCTGCTCCGCTGGCCCAAGGGGGGCCGGTTCCCAGCCGCGGGGCAGAGCCGCTGCAAGCGCTGCCTGCTCTTTGCAACTCCTGTGCATAGGAAGGTGCTGGAGGTGCTCCAGAAATGGCCCATCTCCCCCTTTCACCTCATCCGAGAGGGGGGCTGTCTCAGGACCGTGCCTAGAGGAGCAACCGCTGTCAGTGACACAGTTCTCCGTGACCACCATGTGCCACATCTTTTGGGTAAGACCCTTCAGGCCAAGGTAAGCTGTGACAGGCAGTTACACCAGTTGTGTGGGCTTTTTGCTGCTTACTAGGGCTTGCAGCCACGCTAAAACTTTTGCCTTGGGAAGGGGAATGCTTTCTGCGGTCAGTTTTTCTTATTTTTGTCACCTATTTGCACAAAACACTTTGAATGTAGTGTGTTTGACAACTTTTAATTCCCCCATCAAATTAGTTTGATTTTCTGTGGAGGAAAGACAGCACGATTGCATAAAGCCAGTGCTTCCACAGCAAGGTTGGATGTGTTACTGGGCTGGCGAAAGCACGTGCTTCCTTAAGCAACCCAGCTAAAATAGCCCAAAAATTTACTTGGAGAAAGGCTCTGCCCCAGACCCCTGCTTGGGTGTTCACTAGTCCCAATTAAACACCCTTGTGTCAGGCTCTCCCTCCCCAGAGCTGACTCACATCAGCATCACACCAGGTACTCCTGGATCTTTCCATTTTCCAACAAATTGTCACATTTAGCACCAAAGTCTTGGGGCTGGGAGGGTTTTGGAGGTGAGGGATGGAGGCTGCAGCTTTGCTGCTAACCGTGACAGAGCGCGTTGCGAAGAGGTCACCTTTTTGAGAAGGCAAGATGCAAACAGCAGCCAGGCTGCGCTCCCACCAGATGGCAGCAGCAATTCTGCTCTCTGCAGGGGAAGGGCAGCGGGGACCAAAAAGCGTCCCTCAGCCTCCCCGTGGGGACAGGTGAACAAGGAGGTCACCCTGCCCTGGGCAGAGGACTCAAGGGGTGGACGTGGACAAGGGCAACCACAATAGTACAGTCTACAGGCGAGGAAGAAAAAGGACAAGCTGAAGGGGAATACAAGCTGGGCAGGCAGGGATTCATACTGGAGAGCCCAGTGTTGGTAAAAGCTTGGCAGGGATTCATACTGGAGAGCCCAGTGTCAGTAAAAGCTTGGCAGGGATTCATACTGGAAAGCCCAGTGTCAGTAAAAGCTTGGCAGGGATTCAAGCTGAAGCCCTGTAGTTTTGTGGTCTCGGAGCAATTAGAGTAATGGCAACATGGCCTCATCACTTGTATTTCTCTGAATACAGCCCCAAAACTAAACTACAGGGACCAAGTTTTGGGCAAAGGTCTGCTAGAAATGGGCAATGTAAGACCTGCTGGGGTGAGGAAAGGGCCCTGTATGAGGGGGACTGCAGCCATCTCCCACTTGAGACCAAAGAGCAGCAGTTGGTTGCCACCCTCACACATCAGAGCCCTACAAGCCAGGGTGAAATCTCCCTGCCCACTGCTCTGCCTTGGCTACAAACCTCCGGAGAGGTTTGTGTTTGGTTGTTTGGTTTGGTTTGTTGTTGGTTTGTTGTTTTTTGTTTTTTTTTTTTTCCTGGGAGACACTGCCTCACTTCTCCTTCCTTTCATGCTGGTGGAAGAGCTCAGCTCTGCACCACCCGCAGCGGCTGGGCCAGCCCGCTAGCAACATTCAGACCAGCCAAACAAGCTTTTGTTCATCATAAACAAACAGGAAACTGCCTGATTTCCTCTGTGTGTTCACCCTCTCTCTCCCCACTTACTAGACAACCAGCCTACCTGACCTGTGGAGAGGAGACCAAAAGCAACCCCAGGGACAGGCGCTCTGGAGCAGCTGCAATTCGCAGCATGGCTGTTGCCTCGATGTGGGCATCTGCTCCCTGACAGTCGCTGGTGCACCGGAGCTGAAGCCTCTCCAGGTAAGGGAGCTCCCCGAGTTTGTGATCATTTGTACCCTGCAGCAAGCTGGCAGCCTGTCTGAAATGGTTAGAGCAAGGGATAGGGAGGAGTTTCCTTATTGCTTCCGTTGTGCTGTTTATATCCAAGTGGATCTAGCAGAAAATGCCTGTCCTGAAACACAGAGGGTGGGGTAGGGTGGGGGGAGAAAGCACTTGTGCAAGCAGGGAGCAAATACCGTCCTAAGCCAGGCTGGAGCTCAGCTCGGCTGGGAGATGGGGAGCAATTCTTAGGGCCAAATTTG